AAATAAAATAGTCAAATTGTTACAAATAAATAAAATAGTCAAAGTTTAAAATAAATAAAATTCAAATTGGTTTAAAATAAATAAAATAGTCAAATTGTTTAAAATAAATAAAATAGTCAAATTGTTTCAAAATAAATAAAATAGTCAAATTGTTCAAAATAATAAAATAGTCAAATTGTTTAAAATAAATAAAATAGTCAAATTGTTTCAAAATAATAAAATAGTCAAATTGTTTAAAATAAATAAAATAGTCAAATTGTACAAAATAAATAAAATAGTCAATAGTTTAAAAAATAAAATAGTCAAATTGTTAAAAAAATTGAAAATAGTCAAATTATTTAAAAAGTGTCAAAAAATTCTAAAATAAAATCTCTCAATTTATACTGCATTAAAACATTTTAAAAATTAATTGACAGTAAGATTGATAGTTGCAACATTTCTTCGAATTACTGTTGGGGTTTTATTTGGGGCCTCACGTGTTAAAAAAGTCTGCGAGGAAGGATATGTGTAATTCCTACTCGAAGAACTTTTGCTCGTTAAGAGAAATAGAATTATGGCTAGCAAAATAAAACATCGAACCAGATGTTAACAATCACAACATCTTAAAGAAACCACACAAGGCCTTATACTTGAATGACAAATCTAATAATGCATATAGATAGTGAACTAAATTGGAAAATGCACATAATAATGAAAAAGGAATAAATGGATTTAAAACTGAAGGTCCTGAACTGTCTCATAGGAAGATTGTGCAAACTTTCATTACAAAATAAGCTTCTCGAAGATAATTCCAATGGGATGCAGCTATGGGGCTACACCAGCACGAGCAATATTCTCATAATTTAGGGAGCCCAAAACAAACTACTGGGTGTGATTTGCAACACTCGATGGTTTATATAATCCATCAAGGACCTAAAAATTTCCAATAGAAGTCATTAAAGCAGACGGTTGATTCTTCGAGAGGAATTGAATGTATATGTCAATCCCAGTCAGTCGAAAAACTAAAGAGCCCGAAGAGAAAATGGCTCAGTGATCAAAAGCTTAATTTTTTAAGAGAAATTTGATGCATATGTCAATCCCAGTCAGTCGAAAAACTAAAGGGCCGAAGAGAAAATGGCTCAGTGATCAGAAGCTTAATTTTTCAATACAAATTGGATGCATATGTCAATTAGTCGAAAAACAAAAAGGCCTGAAGAGAAAATAACCTAGTGAATTATCATCCACAACATAATTCATCAAGTTATTTATAATTACAATTTACTCATTTATTTCATTCCATTTCTTATCCTAAGGTTCCTGAACATTTTGGCATACTTTGGAAAAAATTATGTATGTGTGTGTGTGTATGTATCAAAAATGTTAATGTTTGAAAAAAAATAATTTTTGGTACGGGAAGTTCCAGCAATTTGTCTTAAGGCACGATGCTCTGCGCCCCACTAGATTTATTTTGATTTTCAGCATCTTCACTTGTAACTTATAAGTTATGTTGTAAGAATTTAAACTATAAGTATATAGGTAACCGATAAGTATATGTATAACCTATAAGTATAAAAAAGATCTAAATTGGAAATCGATGCATTAAAATTAAATTGCAACTAAATCACAATAAAAAATCAGCACGAGCCTGTAAAACCGCGTGGTAATAAAATCATCAAAAATTTTGAGAAATCGACAATGGAACCTTTCAAAATGGCAAGAATATAATACAAATGTACACTGAATATCTATTACCCTACACACTACACAATATAATAATATGATCTATTACCATACCTTTCAATTATAACTTGATCACCGCTAATGACTCCCAAGGGGGCTCCAGTTATCTTGCATCAAGATTGCACAAACCGTGTGTCACATTAAAAGCGACCAACGCGAAATATTTCTTGCACAACTAACTAGCTACATTATTTCTAAAGTACTCACTTCTTGAACAGGTTTTCTTTTTTATGGCCATGTGTTTCCAATGGAGTCCCGAAAGAAAAAGAACTCAGACGCCTTCAACACACGGCTCTAAACACCGGATTAATAAAGTGCTGAAACGAAAAAATCACGGTACCAACATTCAAACAATCAGAAATTCTTCTGAGCAGGCATACCAACAGCAGAGCATTCATATATGTCAAAACATTTGTCGCAACTGTCGAAACTTAACCTCAATTTCTTATTTTGATGTTTAGTAATAATTTTTCATTTAGTCAGAAATTTGTTGCAATATTGGATTTTTGTTATGTTATGGTAGATTTTTTCGAAACTTTGGTCATGTCAAGATCAGAACAACCGTCGCCACAACACTTATTCAATGTTATTCAATCTTTGTTTTGTGGTTTAATATGAATTGAAGAACACTGGTAAACGTGAACTATTTTGTATGCACAAATTTGCTTGATCACAAAAATGTATAATTATGTAAGCCAAATACTGCTACATTTAAAATCTTTCATATTTATTATATCAAGACTATGTGTATGATACAATACCAAGGTTTCTTATATCTGTTCCATACTAGTGTGCAATATAATTGTTGAAAACTTCAAATATTGTTGACTACAATTTATTGAATTTTAGAACACAATCTTTATTATCAGAATAAGTGCCTTATTCAAATCCAGGACTGTTCCAGTTTTTAACAGTAGTTTAAACTGTAGTATGCAACATTGAATAACTGAAAACTTTTAGATCACATAATTTTGCTACTCAAACAAAGCTATTTTTTAAAAAAAGATAAAGCATAATTGTGATAATATTTTTTATTGAATGTGAATTAAATATTTACCGTTATTTACAATAAATAGTTAATGAGTTAAAATCTATTTACACAATGTTAATATGAATGGGTAAAGCATGGCGTGAAAAAAAATAAGAACAAATTGTACCACATACCAGTATAACACACAACCACATACCAGTCAAACATAATTCTTTATGATTCAAAACTTATTATTATTAATGTTATAATAAATAAATCAAATATTCACAATTTAGAACCTATCACTATAAAATGTACCTAATAATAAATAAATTATATTTACAATTAAAAACCTATTACCATAATGTAATAATAAATAAAAAATACATCGACAATTCAAAACATATTACCCTAATGTAACAATGAATATCATATTTACAATTTAAAACCTATTACCGTAAAGTAACAATAAATAAATCATATTGACAATTCAAAACCTATTACCATAATGTAACAATAAATATCATATTTATAATTTAAAACCTATTACCGTAAAGTAACAATAAATAAATCATATTGACAATTCAAAACCGATTGCCATAATATGAAAAGAAATATGTATGATCATAATTTAAAACTTATCTCCACAATATAGCTGTTAATAAATGTTATTCACATTAGAAATTTGAAAGATAGAATTGAAATGATAATATAAACAAATGAAACCAAATACTACCATAAATTGTGAGAGAAGAAGTTTATTACATCATTAGATACACAGAATGCATGTATGTATGTATTATGATGTGCTGTGAATTATTAGAAGCTCTTTTATTTTTGCCATTCTGATCTAATATTGTGAATGTATGTATGTATTATGATGTGCGGTGTATTATTAAAAGCTCTTTTATTTTTACCATTCTGATCTATTATTGTTAATGCAAGTGTGTATTATGATATGCTGTGTACTACTAGAAGCTCTTTTATTTTAGCGATTTTAGCTATCCATGCTTCATGATTGTTTATACTCATAATCTTCCTTATTCGTTTTAATGCTTTGCGAGTAATTATATACAGACTACAGTATTTCTTTAAAATAATTTTACTTATATATCTCTTAAACAAGTTCTTGTTAATTAATATTCATATTAGCATTACAAATTCAAAAGTTAGAGCTTGTGTCACAAAAATAAAATATGTGAAAATCAGCTAATATTAAATGAGAATCAATAATCAAATATATTACAAACGCGTGAGTCTGTTAGCAAAAAACGAAGTTGTAAATGAACTTGGAAGCATCTATTTAATAACTAAAGAGCATTAGTGAGAGTAAGAATTAAAATTAAAATAATGAAGCCGATAATGAGACTTGATGTTTATGCATATGCCAGTATTTCAAAATGATATTAAATATTTATGATATAAAATTTTTACCAGTTAGAATTCACAACATGCCTTTCCGATTTTTTTGGATGCCCTTGAAATTTTGCCTTTTTCTTTTTATAATTTTGTTCCCATCTATAATTTTGTATCCAGACTTATCTATTACATATCGAGTAATATCTCTCCGCTCAATTTTATTTTTCCATGATTGAAAATCTACATAAGAATACCAAATAAAAGAAAAGTGCATTGACATAGTTTATAATCGAAAATGAACAAACGATTAAAAGAAGAAAATGTCATGCTCGATATGGATGGTGTGATCAACCTCAATATGTTGTTGTAAGCCATTGTATCTGCAAAACACCCTTTGACAATTGTCAAGGGGGCACAAGATTCTAGATTTCCTTGAACTGTTTGTTTTTCATACAAACAGGTTTTACTATTCGTAATATCCGTAGATTATGTAAACATAATGAAACCTTAAAATAGTGAATAAGCAAAGCTATATACCGTAAACAATGAATGAAATTAAAAGAATAACCTAACCTAAGTGCAAATCAGTAAAAAGTGAATAAAAGTAAGCTTATAACTAAAGTGATATACCCTAAAATGAGAAAGTTAAGTGATACCCTAAATTCGAAAACATGTAATGAAATAAAACACGAATAAAAAATAAAAAATGCGAGATGAACGAGCTACACAATAAGCACATTCGTAACAGCGAATCCAACATAAAAAAGTTGAAACCACAGTGCAAAAGATTTGACAATTCTGTAATGTGTTATAGCAAACTTCAGACAGCTTTCTCAGCACAATATTATCCGGTGTTTAGAAACTCTTTCTACAGTTTGTCTCTATGGTGGCAACTATCTTGCAACACTGTGCTGAACTAACAAAGTGTCAAACAAAATATTTTAGAAATTGTTTTTGGGGCATTTTATTTCGTATTTATTTGCTCATTACAAATAGCTGTGGACTAAAGGCAATAATGAATACAATATATATAAATAAAAGTGTACACGTGTTGAAGTACTTGTGATTGCTGGGATTTATTCAGGTAAAATATTTGAGGTTATGTCACATTGAAGTTCCACGATTTGTTCAATATAAAGAATAAAGGATATAAAATAAAAGCTATATATATATATATATATATATATATATATATATATATATATATATATATATATGTATTTGACTTTTATTTTATATATATATATATACAGGGTGCTTCAAATAAATGTATACACACTTTGAACTTCCATAGACAATTCATTTACCCTTCTATAAAGTTAAATTTCGACAAAATAGAAAGCTGAAAGTCCAATGTAAATGAAACATAAATAACAAATATTAATACTGTTCAAATTGGTGACCTGCAGCATCAATACAATTCTGAGTACGAGTCACCACTGATTCTGTACATAACACGGTTGCAATTTTGTGAATAGATTCAGAAGATGGTGAAACGTGAACAGGGATTTATCGGTAGCATTATTTAGCCCCGCACTATCACAGGGTTACTTGTACAATTATTACGAGCTTACCTGGATCAAAATTTGTCGGGCTAGTGGATAGGACGCAGGGGGCCAATCGAGTTTCCATTGGACGTTTTGATACGATGTACAGAATCAGTGGTGACTCGTACTCAGAATTGTATTGATGCTGCAGGTCACCAATTTGAAATGTATTAACATTTGTTATTTATGTTTCATTTACATTGGACTTTCAGCTTTATATTTTTCTGAAATTTAACTTTGTAGAACGGTAAATGAATTTTTTATGGAAGTACAGAGTGTGGATACATTTATTTGAAGCACCCTGTATATATATATATATATATATATACATATACATATATATATATATATATATATATATATACATATATACATATATATATATATATATATATATATATATATATATATATATATATATATATGATTGTTTCTTGGGCATCCATCCAGTAATTAAAAAACAGTTTTATTGAAAAATGTTTTTATTTAGAGAACATACGTTTCGGGTCTTGATTTGACCCATCTTCAGTGCTACAATTAAATAATTCAGGGTTACAAATTAAAACAATATAAAAAAAAAAAATACATAATTAACAGACAAAAATAAGTAAAACCAATGTATATGAAAAGTATATATGAAAAACAACCATAAAATAAACAAATGTAAAGAAACTCACTATACAAATAATTTATTTATAATTATATAATAATTTTCAAAGTTTATTTTTGTCTGTAATTATGTATCTTTTATATTGTTTTCGATTGTAACCCTGAAATATTTAATTATAGCACTGAAGATGGGTCAAATCAAGACCCGAAACGTATGTTCTCTGAATAAAAACATTTTCCTTCAATAAAACTGTTTTTAATTACTGGATGGATGCCCAAGAAACAATTTTATCATAATATTTCACTATCTGAAAAAAACCTCTCTTTTTATATACATATATATATATATATATATATATATATATATATATATATATATATCGAATATATTTATATCGGAAAAAAATAGTGACCTTAGAAAATTTGCTGAATCCTTTTTTATTTCATTAAATTCCTCTTGTGTTAATAAACGCAATTCATATAACGGCAGTATAATGAACGACTTGTATCGGATAACACATAATGCTCATTTAGGTTTATATATATATATATATATATATATATATATATATATATATATATAGATGTATATATTGTATGATTCTGAATTTGATGTTGACATATGTATTAACAAAGTCTAGTAATCAGGCACAGAAACAAGCCATAACTTAATGAAACGTTTACAACAACATAAAAACAATTCAAAAAATCCGACGCAATTTAAAACTATGATTGCGGAGCATATTTATACTTTAAAACACAATATGGACTTTTCTAACCCGACTGTACTACAATTCGAACAAAATTTATTCAAACGAAGAATTATAGAGGGATCTTTTTTAACTATTTATAACAATAAGACAATAAATAAACGGAATGAACTCAACACGCTATGCGACACAAATCTCTTTTATTTAGATAGTATTTCCAAATTTCTTACAAAACAATAAAAATGTCCACACATGTGTAGAATCTTGGTAAAAAATATTTTTTAAAATGTCCTTTCTCCATTACATCTTCAACCAGTCTACGAACAACACACTAACCAATTGTGATTTTTAAATTAGTATTGTGTGAAAATATTGTGTAATTACAAGTTTAATGTTTATAATACATAGTGTAGTGCCTTACCATATCCTGATACCATGGATTATTAAAATCTTCCAATTTAACACTAAATTAACTAATTGTAAGTACTATTTACTATTTTATTTTTTCTTTTCACTCCAATTCAATTGTTTTAGTTTTTAATTTTATTTTTAGTTTCCACTGAATGAAGGCTAGGATTACAGCCGAAACGTATGGATTTAAAATAAATTTTTGAAAGAAATTCATGTTTTTTATTGATGTTATGCCCGATTACTAGACATTTTTAATATATATATATATATATATATATATATATATATATATATATATATATATATATATATATATATGATAGTTTTGTCGACGTTGATGCATATTTGTAACATTTTTGCAGCCCAACCGTCGAATTAAAAAAAGATTAAATAACAAAATTATTTATTCCATTAAACGTTTCGACACTTGATGTGTGTCATCATTGAGTAATCTAAAAAAAACATAACATAAATACACAGTTGATGATGAATATAAATATATAAAAGGAGGGAATTATACATACCAAACCAGGAAAAACAACAGGGAGTTTTTGATTTAAAAGAACAAAAAAGGCACTACACGTGCGTGTCCACACTGCGTTGTACTTTTAACCTTGAACAGTGCCCACAATGCATTGCTACCAATAACATTAAATATAGGAGGGCAATATGTGCTCCTTCTATTTCTTGTTTGTCAATATAATAGTATATTATTATTTTACACAAATTTAGTGTTCAATCAATTTTACATCATAATTGTTTTCTGTTGTTTTTCCTGGTTTGGTATGTATAATTTCCTCCTTTTATATATTTATATTTATCATCAACTGTGTATTTACGTTATGTTTTTTTAGATTACTGAATGATGACACACATCAAGTGTCGAAACGTTTAATGGAATAAGTAATTTTGTTATTTAATCATTTTTTAATTCGACAGTTGGGCTGCAAAAATAATACATATATATATATATATATGTATATATATATATATATATATATATATATAATTATTAGCATTAGCAATTCTTTATTCGTTCTATGCCAATTTAAGTCCATTATTTATAGGTGCAAATATCTCAGAATGTCAGTCCCAAAAGTTAAAATCGAACCCCAAGAATTTTCAATTAAAGACATTGAATTTGAAATAAAAGAAGAAATTGAATGTGAACTATGTAATGAATCATTTACTGGGCAGCATGATTTAGAACAGCATATGCTCGAACATTATCATAGTTGTACCTTTTGTTCCGATACTTTTCCAGATTCAAGCGCCTTAGAAATACATCTGAAAATACATGCAGATGTCAAGCCTTTTGTGTGCACAATTTGCAATGAAGCATTTGCTGTAAAATTGGATTTTGATCAACACGTTTGTAATGGAGAAAAAACTTTAACGTTGAGTGAATCTGAAAGTCTGCTATGCAAAATATGTGGTCGGACATACAAATTTATGAGTGAAATGAAAAAACACATGCTAACACACTCTGAGGAACGTCCCCACAAATGCGAATTATGCAACAAGGCATTCAAAGAAGTGAGAATTTTGAAAACCCACAAACTCATTCACAGTGGCGTGCGTCCTCATAAATGCGATTTATGCGATGAGACATTCACATTACCGCATAACCTGAACCGACATATGCTTGTTCACACCGGTGAACGACCTCATGCTTGTGCAGTATGCGATAAGAAATTCACACAAGCGGGTAGTTTGAAAACCCATATGCTCATTCATAGTGGCAAACGGCCCCACAAGTGTACAGTATGCGAAAAGACATTTAACCATGTGGGTACTTTGAACAAACACAAGCTTCTTCACAATCCTGAACGACTGCATAAGTGTGAAGTATGCAGTAAGAAATTCACACTAACAAGCGACTTGAATAGACATATGCTCATTCACGGTAAGGTACATGAATGTGAAACATGCAACAAGACATTCACACAAAAGCGTCAATTGAATCAACATAAGCTCGTTCATGCTGAGGAACTAATGCATAAATGCATAATGTGCGATAAGGCGTTCACACTAAAGAGTCAATTGAAACAACATATGCTCATTCACAGAGAGGCTGGATCCCATAAGTAGACATAGGACATTCACACACTCAAGTGTCCTCAAAAGGCACATCGTTTTGTACAACAAAAAGTAATTACAGTAGAAGTCTTGTATCGAAAATTCCGGACTATCGGGCGGTAATTATAAATTGTCAATTGAAACAACATATGCTCATTCACAGTGGGGTTAAATCCCATAAGTGTACATAGGACATTCACACACTCAAGTGTCCTCAAAAGGCACATCATTTTGCATAACAAAAAGTAATTACAGTAGAAGTCTTGTATCGAAAATTTCGGACTATCGGGCGGTAATTATAAATTGTTTTTATAACCGGTTAATAATTAAACTGCTTATATTCACGATCATATTTTCATGCACTTTTTGGCCATTCCTCTGGCAAGTTTTCCTTTCCAATAATGGTACATTCCCTAATTTCCTAATTCCTTTTCCCTAATTTCAATGGCAGGGACTGATTTAGATGATTTAGATGATAGATCCCATAAGTGTACAGTTTGTGGTGGGACATTCACACATTCAAGTGTCCTCAAAAGGCACATCATTTTGCACAACAAAAAGTAATTACAGTAGAAGTCTTGTAGCGAAAATTCCGGACTATCGGGCGGTATTATATAAAATTATTAAAAAATAACATATTAAATTTACAAGCTTGTAGTACAAACGGTGCGTCCTGAAGAGCTCCTCGAAAATCATTCTAATAATAGAAGTTTTATACTTTTAGTATGAAAAGAGCTTTATTCCTTCGACTATTAAGCTTATCACCTTGATTTTCAACAGTTGTACCTTTAATTTTTTTTTTTTTTTAAATAATTTCTGAAGACAAAAAAACTAAAATAAATCGAATGCAAATTTAGTATGTTACTTCTTAATATGTATACTTTAACAAAATAAAGTAAATTTAGTAAGTTTTCTCACGAAATTTTAAAATATTTTTAACTAACCATAAAAAGTGCATTGTTATACATTTCACTTTGAACACATAAGTCTGCTGAGAAATAATTTATTTAACGAGTTTTTCAGGACGTATGCGGAAGAAATTTTAGTATGTTCCTTCTTAATATGTATACTTTAGTAAAAAATAGTAAAATTTAGAAGTTTTCTCACAAAATTTTCAAATATTTTTAACTAACCATAAAAAGTACCTTGTTATACTTTGATCACATAAGTTTTTTAAGAAATAATTTATTTAGCGAGCTCTTCAGGACGTACGCGGAAGAAATTTTAGTATGTTACTTCTTAATATGTATACTTTAGTAAAAAATAGTAAAATTTGTGAGTTTTCTCACAAAATTTTATAATATTTTTAACTAACCATAAAAAGTACCTTGTTATACTTTGATCACATAAGTTTTTTAAGAAATAATTTATTTCGCGAGCTCTTCAGGACGTACACAGATGAAATTTTAGTATGTTCCTTCTTAATATGTATACTTCAGTAAAAAATAGTAAATTTAGTAAGTTTTCTCACAAAATTTTATAATATTTTTAACTAACCATAAAAAGTGCATTGTTATACATTTCACTTTGATCACATAAGTCTTTTAAGAAATAATTTATTTAGCGAGCTCTTCAGGACGTACACATATGCAATTTTAGTATGTTACTTCTTAATATGTATATTTTAGTACAAAATAGTAAAATTTGTAAGGTTTCTTACAAAATTTTAAAATATTTTTAACTAACCATAAAAAGTGCATTGTTATACATTTCACTTTGATCACATAAGTCTTTTAAGAAATAATTTATTTAGCGAGCTCTTCAGGACGTACACATATGCAATTTTAGTATGTTACTTCTTAATATGTATATTTTAGTACAAAATAGTAAAATTTGTAAGGTTTCTTACAAAATTTTAAAATATTTTTAACTAACCATAAAAAGTGCATTGTTATACATTTCACTTTGATCACATAAGTCTTTTAAGAAATAATTTATTTAGCGAACTCTTCAGGACTTACACATATGAAATTTTAATATGTTCCTTCTTAATATGTATACTTTAGTAAAAAATAGTAAAATTTGTGAGTTTTCTCACAAAATTTTAAAATATTTTCAACTAACCATAAAATGTGCATTGTTATACATTTCACTTTGATCACATAAGTTTTTTAAGAAATAATTTATTTAGCGAGCTCTTCAGGACGTACACATATGCAATTTTAGTATGTTCCTTCTTAATATGTATATTTTAGTACAAAATAGTAAAATTTAGAAGTTTTCTCACAAAATTTTAAAATATTACTAAGTTTTTATAAAAAGTACATTTTACTTTGAACACATGAATCTTCAAACAAATGTGTTCTTTGATCATTAAATTATTATTATCTCATATTAGACATAAAGTTTTGGCAATTTTGTATTTTTTACATTATTAAAAAATAACATATTAAGTTTACAAGCTTGTAGTACAAACGGTGCGTCCTGAAGAGCTTCTCGAAAATCATTATTCTGGTAATAGAAGTTTTATACTTCTAGTGTGAAAAGAGCTTTATTCCTTCGCCTATTAAGCTTATCAACAATTGTACTTTTAATTTTTTTTTTCAAATAATTTCTGAAGACAAAAAAACTAGAATAAATCGGTCCTTAACGAAGTGCGATGCCCAAAATTGATAATTCGACCCTGTCGTCTAGTCTTTGAGGCAAAAAAAGTTACAGAAGCAAATTAAGTGACTTGCATTCTGATAGAAAATTATATTTGATTATTTAAATTATGGGCAATGTAAAGAAAATTTGGATAAGATTTTAGAATAGTATTTTGGACTTTAATGTCATTTTTTATACAAAAAATTCGATACAAGTTTCCTGGATAATGTGGAAAAAATATTTTACTCTTTGTATATCGTTTTTTGGGTATACCGAGTTGCTGTATGGCTTTATGATATTAGACAATATTTTAGATAATTTAATTTTGTATAAATTCACCGAATATTATTAACCGAATTATAAATTGTTTTATAACCGGTTAATAATTAAACTACAGCAAATACAAACAAAACAGCTTATATTCACGATCATAATTTGATGCACTTTTTGGCCGTTTTTTTGGCAAGTTTTCCTTTCCAATAATGGTACATTATTTGCCCTAATTTCAATGGCAGAGACTGATTTAGATGATTTAGATGAGTGTTTGGTGTTTCTGCAACTTCGGAAGACCATTTAGCCCTTGAAAACAATCCTACCAAGTTTCTTTCATCATATTTGTCTAAATCATTCTGATCCAGAGTACTAAGCTCATCAGATGATTCATCTAATCAAATTATGGAACTATCTAAGCTCTCAGAATTTTTACTTTCTACAGATTTTTACAGAATTTTTTTAAACTCACACTTCTTCTGAGCTGTACTTACAAATTTCTTGTGTTATTTTATTTAAACAGTCACACAATTTCAGAACAGTTTCAGACTATTATTTCGTTCTAAAACTTGCTCCAAACGTATATTATTACCTATTATTTTATCTAAGCATAAAGCGATTAAGTCAAATTCTGTTTTTAATACATAATAGACGATGGTGTTTTATCAGTATTTTTCATATTGACTTCTAAGTGTCTTACGAAGATATAATAGCAATAAAGCTCAAATTAATTCTGTGTTAGTTCGAAAACGTTTGTGTGTGAAAAAGAAAAGGGCTGTTTTTAGGGTTTTCCCGACAATTTTTAGATTTTTCCTCGCCGTATTAACCATCCTTGGACTTCAACGAACATTTTAAGAAAAGAATTGGCCAACTTTTACCAATTTTATTCATTTTCATATATAAGATGTATATAAGTAAAATATTTTTAAAGTTTTAACAAAAACATTTTTAATTTTCACAAAAAAGGCCGAATCCTTCTTGCCTACGTATTTCGTAGAACATACTTTGTTCATGAACTTAGACACAATGATTACCGATTAATAGTGAGTCCTTCCGAATGATTTTACCGAAAACGTTTAATAGCTTTCGAGCGTTTTTATTTGCTATAAAGGCACATTTTTGAAAAAAAAAACAAAATTTTGAAAAAATGTCGGACTATCGTGCATTCCGAACCAAAAGACTTCTACTGTATAAATATAAGAATTTACACAACATTAAATTTATGACACTCAGAGTATTTATTAAGAAGTGAAAATTTGTGAAAAATTATTTATTAATGTTATGTTATACAATATTTTATTATTATTATTATTAATGTTAGTAGTTGTACAATATAAATTATTTTTTATATTTTTAAAATATAAACAAACAATATTATCAATGATTGTTTTATTGCAAATATGTTTTATATCCACACAGGTTTAATCATTATTTTAAAAAACAATTCGAATACACTTTTATATTTCATTTGTGCGATTTTTTTTGCAAGTTATAGTAATCGCAAAAAATCGAAAATGAAAATTTTTATATATCTTTACGTTCCAAAATCTTCTGAACATTTTGGTATACCTTAGAAAAAATGGATGTATGTGTGTGTGTATGTGTATGTATGTGTGTGTGTGCGTGTGCGTGTATGTGTGTGTGTGTGTTCGGATACAAATTTTCGTCGACGATTTTGGGAACACGAATGAAACGATTTGAATAATTAAAAAAAATATTCCATTCGTATTGATAAGCAGACGTGCTGATTAGTTTTTGGCGAAGGCAGGTCCAGCCGTTTCGAAGGTACGTGGCAAAAAGTGCCAAAAAAGGTAACTCAGTTTATAAGAGAACAGAGCGTCGGATTTGAATAATTCAAAAAACATTTTACTTGTATTAACAATTTTTAGATTGTTAAGTTAATTAAGGCAGGTCTAGCGGTTTCGGAGATCTAGTGAAAAAAGTAAAAAAAAAAGCCATTTGGCGGTCAAAAATGATCATTAGACATATGCACATCAAATTATCAGATATTTTAACAATAAATATAAATTTTGTTTACATTCCTATGGGTTCCGTACTAGTGTTTAACCGTTAGACGGCGACGCAGCGCATACGCGCTTCGATATTGTGTCTCTATGCAGTTAATGCAGTACGATTGCTTTGAAAAAAAAGTTCAGAATTTCCAAAATATTTCAAAATAAATTTTTCTTCAAAAAGTCTTTTTTTTTTCAAAACAAGTAAGTTCTTGTCAAAAATTCATAGTTTCTCAAAAATCTATTTTTTTCAGAGTAATTTTTTTTTTCAAAAATGTTAATCTTTTTAAAAAAAATAATTTTTGGTACGGGAAGTTCCAGCAATTTGCCTTAAGGCACGATGCCATGCGTCCCACTAGTTAAATTAAATGTTGAAAAAGTTACTCTAATTGTTCAAAAATCGATAATGAAAATTTTTGCATGTCTTCACGTTTCAGAGGATTCTGAACATTTTGGCATACCTTAGAAAAAATGTATGTATGTGTGTGTGTATTTGTATGTAGTATGTACGTAAGTATGGACACAGATTTTCGTCGACGAATTAAAGAAGCATTCGATTCCTATTGATAGAGAGATGTGCTGATTAGTTTTCGGGAAAGGCAAGTCTAATCGTTTTGGAAGTAAAGAGCAAAAAAAATTCTAAAAGCGGTATTTCAGTTTTTAAGGGAACGGAGCGTCCGATTTAAATGATTCAAAAATCATTTTACTTCTATTGACAAATGAGGACTGATAAAATTTTTGCAAAGGCAGATTCAGCGATTTCGGAGATTTAATAAAAAAAAGTAAAAAATGCCAAAATGATCGTTAGACTTATGCACATCAAATTATCAGAAATTTCATAGAGATTTTAATAATAAGTAAGAATTTTGTTTAAAACATTACGAATGCATTTTTATAAAAATACGAAATAAAACAAAATAGTGGAGTGTCAAATGTCAAGTTAAATAAATGTTTATAACTGTAATATTCTCAGGTATGTAAATAATATATATATATATATATATATATAATTACCTTTTTTCAGATTTATCCAATCCAGAAATAGAAAAATCAATCCTGGTCAATCCAGAATGTCCACTCGGTGTCTTCTTGGAGTACATTCGAACAAATGTAGGCCTACAAAAATACGGTAAATATTAAATAAACATCTACATAAATTATAATTGAATAAAAAAAGAGTGCGCGTAAGGATCATACGCGATTGAAGTAAAACTTATTTGCTACTGTATAAAGTAGCAAATTTAAGTTGAGTAAAAATAAATACATCATATAAAAATTTTGAATAATGTTTATTAGTAATAATGTAACACTCGTGATGCACACATTCATTAGTGTCGTCAATCATTATACACATTTATATAATGATAAATTATAAATTATATATTTGTAATAGCATTAAAAATATGTATAATATTTACAAGCAATATTGTAATCAAAGTAGTACTTGAAATATGACATGATCGTTTTAAAGTAATTGCTGATTAATAAATTCTATAATATTCATTCACACAGTGGATTATGTTAAACAACGCCTAAACAAATATTGTTTTTGCAAATTAACTCATCCTGTAACAATTGTGTTTGAAGAACTTCATGTAATTAAAATTAACATACATTCATTTACAGTTTGTATTTTTTTTACTTTTTCGCTGACGATATAATCTCATTCCTTGAACAGCTGTAATATCCGTCTTGCCTAACAAATTGAAGCCATACTTTTATATTTGTTTTACTTATTAAGCCCTGCACATAGCTTGATCTATGTATAGGTGAAATTAACCTCTCAGATACAGTATCTAGTTTAGGTAGATAATTTGGTATAGGTGGAAATACAAACCCGTTAAATTTACACAAAGTGGGAATTTTACCTGAATTTAATATCTTTCGACAAGTTTGACATCCAATCTGACTATTTGAATCAATATTCAAAAAACATTATTAAGAATTTGTTTTTGAGCATCATTTGATATTTCTAAGTCACTTTGAAGCCAAAATCGATCACACACAAAACATACATAGCCTTAGCTATTTATTTGCGATCATTTGCGAGCACTACAATTATTTATGGGGGACGGGATAAAATATTTTTCCGATCCTGACATTTTTATTAACTCACGAATTATACTGCTAACCCATGTCGCGCCTAAAGAAGTTTTACTTCAATAAGCTTTATTTATTTTAGATGAATTCGATTTATGTCCGGAGACCGGAGTTTTAAAAAATCTCAACGAAACTTCAATGTTCACAAATGCTTCAACTTTGATGGAAGATCGAGAGACTTTCTTTGTTGTTCACATACAAAGTAAGCACCTTAAAATATTATCTATTACTATATTTCTAATATTTATATATATTACCTTTACCCAGGAGATGCAGACTGTGTATCCTACCACCTGCTGCTTCCTCGAAACCACGAAATATACAACGAACTTTCATCAAAAATCAAAGAAAACGCCTGCGTCTGCGACTCTGGTCTAAATTTATCAGGTGTCACCAACCTTTCGGGTAGTAAAGGGAGCAGATCGAGTACCAGCAAAAGGGGTAGCAAATCTTTGTCATCAACGGGAACCAAAAAATCCTCCTCGGGAAGTGTCAAATCTGGTTCATCCAATAATAGGAGGTTATCGAGTGCTGGAAGCAAGGAGAAGAGATCTGGTAGTAATGTTAAAATGTAAAGATCTTGTATGAATGTAATATATATATATATATATATATATATATATATTAAAATATATAGAAATTTTATAATACATTCATACTTATTTAATTACATTTATATCTAAACATTTTCTATATTGAAAAAATGTTTACTCTTCCAAGTATTTTTACAAAATTCAAATTACCATTTATTTTCTTACCTGATTTTTCGTTATCCATTTTTCAAAGTCGTAACTACGTAGCACAGCCGAAACGTCGTTACGAAGTAGTTACCTTAATAAAACGTACATATTACATATATTAAAATATATATAAATTTTATTATACATTTATACACGTATTTATTTGCATTTATATCTAAACATTTTTTATATTGAAAAAATGTTTACTCATTCAAGTACTTTTACAAACAAATTCTCATTTATTTTTTACCTGATTTTTCGTTTTCCATTTTCCAAAGTTTATACTACGTAGCACAGACGAAGTTTAATGGTTATGATTAATCGTTACGAAGTTTAATGGTTACGTTAATAAAACGTACATGCTACGTATAGTTGTAATCTTCTTTTCAACGTAGATATTTCGGTTTTCTTCGTTACGTGGCAGTTATGTAACAAGGTTTCATACATTTACCATACAAAATGGACGGTTTTGTGCAGCTGTTTAAAAGAAATGTAAAAAAGATAGGTTACGTGTAGCTTTTTTCGCTATTTTCGCGTTATGTTATATTATATCAGTTTATTCTTTAATTCTATTTTTTCTTGTGTTCACTGTTCTATTATTTATTGTGTTCTCGCTGTTTACTATCTGGAATTCTGTATGAAAATAGGTAATCCTATTTGATAAATTTATGGAATGAAAATTCTAGATAGTCTACAAATGTTCCAGACAAATTATAAATATTCCCAGACATTCTACAAATATTCCAAACAGTCTACAAATATTCCAGACAAATAAAATATTTTATCACTGAAAATATATTTTGTAGATAGTCTTGACATGTTCTTTATAGTTCTGAAAATAGCCTGAAAATATTTCAATTAATCCTAAAATATTCTTAAAGTTTGTCTGAATTCTGAAAAGTCTGATGGTCTGCAAATGCAATTGTTGAAAGAGATACTAAACTCATTTGTAACATTATATCTTATTTTATTCTACTCGAAAATTGAAAATTAAGACATAAATTAAATATAAATAATAAATTAATTATAACAAATTTTTGTCATACTTTATATTTGTAATTACAATTCTAATGTGAATCGCGTAATTCACACTTTTGAGGTTCCTCATTGTGAATGAGCATATGAAAGAATGAGGTGTATATGGCATCTATCCTTAATAATTTCTTGTTTACAATTTTTAATAATTTTTGTGCTTTACAGACATAAGGAAGATACGTTCTTTCATTTACATTTTTGCTCATAATATATATATATATATATATATATATATATATATATATATATTTGTTCACAGTATTTTTTTTTATTAAAGTGTTTTGTTCTAGTAAATTTATTGGGGTTTTATCATTTATCTGCTAACTATTAATAAATTAATTTTAACCAATTTTTGTCATACTTTATATTTGTAATTACAATTCTAATGCGAATCGCGTAATTCACACTTTTGAGGTTCCTCATTGTGAATGAGCATATGTTCATCCAGGTTACTTCTTTGTGTAAATGTTTTTTTACATACTTCACATGTATGGAACTGTTCACTACTGTGAACAAGCATATGCCTTTTCAAGTAGCGCTTTGTTGAGAAGGACTTTTCGCATATTTTACACTTTGGGCGCGGTTCATTACTGTGAATTTGCATGTGGGTTTTCAAAACTCCCACTTGTGTAAATGTCTTATCACATACTGTACACCTATAAGGTCTTTCACCTGTGTGTATAAGCATATGCGTTTTTAGGCCACCTCGTTGTACGAATGACTTATCGCATACTTTACATCTATGAAGCCTTTCACCGGTGTGAACGAGCATATGCGTTTTCAAGCCACTCTTTCGTGCGAATGACTTACTGCATACATCACATATATGTGGCTTTTCATCGCTGTGTATGACCATATGTGATTTCAAATCAGCCGATTGTATGAATGACTTACCGCATACTTTACATTTGTGAGGACGAGTCCCGATGTGAATGAGCATATGCGTTTTTAAGCCACTCTTTCGTGCGAATGACTTACTGCATACATCACAAATGTGTGGTTTTTCATCGCTGTGTGTGAGCATATGTGATTTTAAATCACTCGGTTGTACGAATGACTTTTCGCATACTTTACACCTATACAGCTTTTCACCTGTGTGTACGAGCATATGCCTTTTTAAGCCACCCCGTTGTACGAATGACTTATCGCATACTTTACATCTATAAAGCTTTTCACCGCTGTGTATGACCATATGCCTTTTTAAGCCACCACTTTCTGTAAATGACTTATTGCATACTTTACATTTGTGAGGCCGAGTCCCGATGTGAATGAGCATATGCATTTTTAAGCTACTCTTTCGTGCGAATGACTTACTGCATACTTCACAAATATGTGGCTTTTCATCGCTGTGTGTGACCATATGTGATTTTAAATCACTCGGTTGTTTGAATGACTTACCGCATACTTTACATTTATGAGGCCGCTGCCCAGAGTGAATATAAAGCTTATGAGTTTTCAAGTTACGCCAATGTATAAATGTCTTATCGCATAGGTCACACCTGTGGGGTCTTTCGCCGCTGTGAACAGGCATATGTCTTTTCAAATTACGCGAATGTGCGAATTGTTTATCGCATACTTTACACTTATAAGGCAGATCACCGTTGTGCATGCTCATATGAGATTTCAAGCTACCAAAATATGTGAAAGTCTTATTACATACTTTACAACTGTAGGACCGTACGCCACTGTGAACAAGCATATGCATATTCAAGTTGTTATGTGTTGAGAATGACTTATTGCACATTTTACACGCATGCGGCCGTACGCCACTGTGTACAAGCATATGTTTTTTCAAGGTCCAAATTGTTGATAATGACCTATCGCATACTTTGCATTTATGCGAACCTTTTGCACTATGAGTATCCAAGCTTTGGGTTTGATTATCAGATTCACTCAACGTTAAAGTTTTTTCCCAATCACAAACGTGTTGATCAAAATCCAATTGTCTAGTGAATACTTTATTGCAAATTGTGCACACAAAAGGCTTGACATCTGCATGAATTTTCAGATGTATTTCTAAGGCGCTTGAATCTGGAAAAGTATCTGAACAAAAGGTACAACTATGACAATGTTTCAGCATGTGCTGTTCTGTAAATGATTTATTACATGTGCCTTCATTACATTTAAAATGAGGTGCTTCAATTAACTCCTGTCTAATTTCATCAGATTCACTCAACGTTAAAGTTTTTTCTCCATCACAAACGTGTTGATCAAAATCGAATTGCCCAGGGAATGCTTTATTGCAAATTATGCCCACAAAAGGCTTGACATCTGCATGTATTTTCTGATGAATTTCTAAGGCGCTTGAATCTGGAAAAGTATCTGAACAAAATGTACAACTATGACAATGTTCCAGCATGTGCTGTTCTGTAAATGATTCATTACATGTGCCTTCATTACATTTATAATGAGGTACTTCAAACAACTCCTGTCTGATTTCATCAGATTCACTCAACGTTAAAGTTTTTTCCCAATCACAAACGTGTTGATCAAAATCGATTTGCCCAGTGAATACTTTGTTGCAAATTGTGCACTCAAAAGGCTTTTCATTTGCATGAATTTTCTGGTGAATTTCTAAGGTGTTTGAATCTGAAAAAGTATCTGAACAAAAGATACAACTATGACTATGCACCGGCATATGCTGTTCTAAATCATACGGCCTTGTAAATGATTCATTACATATGCCACTATTTTTATTGACTTCATTCTCTATCATTACATCGGATTTACTAAATCTCTCCTGATAAGTTTCTTTATGTTCAGGCTCTTCTTCTTTTATTTCAAAATCCTTGTCTTCAATTGAAAATTCTTGCGGTTCGATGTTAACTTCTGGGACTGACATTTTGAGATATTCGCTCCTGTAAATATTGTAATTGTAATTGTATTGTGTTTTTGTAATATTGTGAATGACATGTCATAATATATTTATTTTTGTAAACAAATATTTTATAATATATTTATTATTTATCACATTTCCACATTGGTGACCAATGACTTGAAGATTGCAAATGAGCGCATCAATTTAAAAAACAAATGTCAAGTCTACTTTGACGTCAAACCTATTTGCAGGTGATCGGAAACACGTTGTATTTAATTGTTCGTAACTGAATGTAGAGGAGTTGTAGATATGGTGTTAATATTCACAAAAATAAATATTATGCCATGTTATTTTTCTTTTGTTCGGATTCGATGTCAAGTCTATCTTGATTATCAAGTTTTTAGACCCTTGAAAACAACCCATTTATGAAAAATTGTTTGAAAAAATTATTTTGAAATCGAAAGAAAATTAAGAAATTCAAAATGATATGAATGTTATTATTACAAAACGCTTCATTGACTGGAGTAATACTCTAAAATTGCATAGGAACTCATAACTCTTTTGTGCATTTATTTATTATATCTCTTATAGCTTCTGAATTATTTACACATATAATATAAAAAAGTACAATTGTTGTTACAAGTATTTAATTTTTGAGATCTATATGTATATTGTTAACTAACCTTGCATTTAAAACAGTATTGTAAATGTTGTCTATGATTTCCTGCTTCAGTTTTTCATCTTGAAAAGATTCTAGTAGTTCTTTTAAAGTTGATAATAATTCATTGACGGTCTCATCTTCTGAATAATTTTGCGAAACTTGAGTGTCGTTCTTTATGGATAAAGAAAATTGAATTTTAGATACTGATTATTAGCAATATTACTTTTATTATTATAGTAATGGGTCGAAAATCGAAAATGAAAATTTTGGCATTTCTCGACGTTTTGAAGGTTTCTGAACATTTTACTGGCATACCTCAGAAAAAATGGATGTGCGTATGTTTTGTATGTCCGCATTTTTTCGTCCACGTTTACGGGCACACGGATCAACCGATTTGAATGGTTTAAAAAACATTCGATCCCTATTGATAGAGAAATGTGCTGATTAGTTTTTGGCAAAGGCAGGTCCGGCCGTTACGGAGATACGGAGCAAAGAGTGCAGAAAATACAAATCGAGTTTTTGAGAGAACGGAGTATCGGATTTGAATGATCTAAAAAACATTCAATTTGTAATGATTGGGAGAAGAGGTGATTAATTTTTGGCAAAGGCAGGTCCCGCCATTTCGAAGATACAGAGCTAAATGTGCAAAAAATTGCAGTTTTTGAGTGAACTATGCGTCCGATTTGAATGATCTAAAAAAAATTTTCTGCTTGTATTGACAAAACAATTGCTTTTGAGGATGAAACATTATTACATATTTTTTTATTTTCCATAAAATATTTTTGTAATTCTGTATTAGAAATTCAAAAAATTACACAGTTTAAGCACAGTCTAAGCGCCACTCTGGTACAAATGTTTACCCAAGTGCGTTTAGACTGTTTATGTATTGGAGCACTTTTCCAATTTTGTGAAAAACTATTGAAAAATGTTAAAATGCCGCCAAGCTAAGCACAGTATAAGTGAATATGTCGCACAGAATTATTTGCAAATGCGTTTAGACTGTGACTATACGGGAGCACTTTTTCAATTTTGTGTAAATTAGGCAACTATTTTTTTTTGAAATTGAATTCGAAATGAAAGATATAACAAGATAGCAAAAATAATGAAAGTTACAGTAATTGTAATAATATATTTAAAAACGTTTAAAATTTTTCGAATATTTCATTACGGTACTGGAAGTTCCAGCAATTTGCTTTAAGGCACGATGCCACGCACCACTAGTTAAATTTTTTAAAATAATTTTAACACTAGTAGGAAAACTTTTTATGAGCACTTCATCCATAATCTGTTTACTTTTTGGTATTGATTATGGTTTACGTCCACACATTAAATTAAATTAAAATAAAATACATATGTAGAAGACGAAATGAATGAAATAAAATTAAAAGTTAAACAGATTAAAATAATTTATAAGATATATTAATATATCTTATTTTTTATTTAAATACCTGTATATCGCAATTCTTATTGATTAAGTTGATTATATCTATAGTAGTTACATACAACCAGTTATTGTTATTAATAACTATTTGATTACTTTAATTATATATATATATATATATATATATATATATATAATTATATAATTATATTTAAATAACTATTCTATTACTCACCTGATTTGATTCATTTCTATAAAAGCACCCATCATCTTCAACTGAACTTTCGCAAACATCTTCAGGCAATTTTTCGCAATAGGAATTCATTTTTAAAATATTAAACAATTAATAGGATTTTACTAAACAAATATAAGAATATAAATAGATATAAAAACACTCAAAACGTCCGCACTTAATGAATACAAAATTCACAATGAACACAATTTTATATTCATACCACAGCAGCCAAAAAGAAACGTATCACGTGACGTAATACTGCTTTTTCATTGGTTCGCATTAGGGTAGTGATGTCACATGGTAGATAACTGCTTTCCCATTGGCTGGAACTTGGGTGAAGTACGAAAAATTGAGAAAAGTGTCGTTTAGGCGGGATTTTCAAATTTGAATAGGGATTTTCAAATTTTTTTTGCTTTTATAACACTAAGAGTACAAAATTTATCGTTAACTAGTGGCGTATGGCATCGTGCCTTCAGGCAAATTGTTAGAACTTCCCGTACCAATTTTTTTTTTTTTTAAATATTAACATTTTTGAAAAAAATTTACTCTGAAAAATTAGATTTTTGAGAAACTATAAATTTTTGACGAAAATTTACTTTTTTTTTGAAAAAAAAGACTTTTTGAAGAAAAGTGTATTTTAAAATATTTTGGAAATTTTGAACTTTTTTTCAAAGCAATCGTACTGCTTTAACTGCATAGAGACGAAATATCGAAGCGCGCAAGCGCTGCGCCGCCGTCTAACGGATAAGCATTGGTACGGAACCCATAGGAATGTAAACAAAATTTATACTTATTGTTAAAATCTCTATAAAATATCTGATAATGTGATGTGCATATGCCTAATGATCATTTTTGACCGACAAAGGGCATTTTTTTTACTTTTTTCACTAGATCTCAGAAACCGCTAGACCTGCCTCATGAAAATTTGATGAGTTCTTCATCTTGTTAATACAAGTGAAATGTTTTTTGAATTATTCAAATCGGACGCTCCGTTCTCTTAAAAACTGAGTTACCGTTTTCGGCACTTTTTGCCCCATATCTTCGGAACGGCTAGACCTGCCTGTGCCAAAAATTAATCAGCACGTCTCCTTATCAATACGAATCGAATGTTTTTTGAATTATTCAAATCGCTTTATCCGTGTTCCCGAAATTGTCGACGAAAATTTGTATCCGCACACACATACACACACACACACATCCATTTTTTCTGAGCTATGCCAAAATGTTCAGAAACTTTCAAAACGTCGAGAAATGCAAAAATTTTCATTTTCGATTTTCGGCCCATTACTATAACTACCCTACGGGAAGTTAATAAAATTTTGATTTTCTTACTTTCCATTTGTCTCTGAATTTTCACAAGAAAAAGTTTATTTTTTTGCCATTTTTTTTTTCACACACAAATTGTAATTGGTTTGAAAATATTGCAAATTGTATATAAATTTTGTAGATTCTCTGAAAATTTTGTAAATTGTTTGAAAATTTTGTCAAGACACTTTTAGACAATCATCAAGACAATGTTAGATAACATTTTTAGACAATCTTTAAAACATATTATGAAAATTGTAAATAATTTGCAACATTTTTAGATTACTTACAATATTTTCAGACAGTTTATGACATTCTTATACAGCTCTTACAACATTTTGAGAAAGTTCTCAACATTTTCAGATAGTTTACAACATTTTTATACAGCTTACAACATTCTCATACAGTTCACAACATTCTCACACAAATCTACAACTATCTCACACAGTCGACAACATTCTCATACAGCTTACAACATTTTAAAATAGTTTACAACATTCTCATACAGTTTACAACATTTTCAGACAGTTTATGACGCTATCGAGAAAGTTCTTAACATTTCATACAGTTTACAACATTTGCGAAAAAGTTAAATAATCTACAATATTGTCTAATATCATAATGCCCTAAAGCAACTCGATATACTTCAAAATTACCTCTGAACATATAGTATCAATCCACTTGCACTTCATATATTGTGCAACCCTTTCATGCATTTATTTATTATATCTGTTGTAAATTTTAAACCGTACGTTTAAATTTAATGAAATATTTTGCAAATTTGTTTAAAATTAAATAATCTACAATATTTTCTAACATCATATAGTTCTACAGCAACTCGGTATACTTTAAAATTGCAATTGAATCTATTGACAACATGCTCATACAGTTTACAACATTTTCGAGAAAGTTCTTAACATTTTCATACAGTTTACATAGGGAATGCAATACTGGTATACCGGTATACCGAATTACAGGTGAACCGCCAAATTTTTCGGCGGTATTTTGACCGGTATTTACTCCAAAAATACCGGTATTTTAGGTATTTTTACATAAGCGCTATTTGATACACAATACCCTAAAGTTTAAATTTCTCGGAACAAATTTATCTTTAAATTCCATAATCGCATAAACAGCTATATCTTCAAGTGATTCTATAGGATAAACAAATGTCAAATATTATCTCAACTCGTCATTAAAATGAATATTTATTGCTTTCCAAAGGGCTTCATATCGTGTTACAATAAATAGAATTGGACTGATAGATAATTATGTTTGTTTCATCTTTTGTAAAAACGTAACGGTTTTTTAAGTGATATTTGCGCCAAAATATTTTATATCGTACAGATTACCCCTGCGTAATCTTTATTTTTTTCTAACTTTATACATAATAATTATAACAATTATAAATCTTCTTCTTATTACAATTATAAAATATTATTTTTTGAAAAGTTTGAAAATTCTATAGAAGCATCACATTATTTTAAATAACAATATTCAACAATTATAGTAACTTATTATTTATCTTGAAAAAGTATTCGATCTTACATTAGTGTAGAAAAATTTTTTTTTTAAATATTGGAGATTATGCTAATTTAACACATCGGATTCAGACAATACACTTTATTATAATAATGTGATATGATCTTTTATGAGTTTTTGGCCTTTCTTACTCATAAGTTCGTTTTTTATGAAAAGTACTCAATATACTCGATAGTGATAAAAAATTAATTAAATTGGATATCATTTTATTAAATTATTATTTAAAAAAATAAACTTATTGTTTTATTTTATTGTTTAGTTGAATATAGTTGTAGTTGTATATACATTTTTTTTATATTTGTACTAGTAACTTTGAATTTTGTTTACGTTTGTTTAAGATAATAAAAATACTGGTAATTTACCATTATTCCAGTTTTAAAATGAAAAACTACCGAAATACCGGTATTGCAATTTTCCATCGGTATTGCATTCCTTAGTTTACAACATTTTCAGACAAATTTCAAGAAGTACATAATTTGTTAATTCATATATATTTTATTTTCAGTTAACAAAAAAGCATACATACATACTTAACATTATTAAATATTAATAATACAAAATAATAAGCAGTCTCTTTAACATTTTCTTAGCCAATTAATATAAACAGATCACATAATTTTTATTTCTTCTGCTCCTTTTGCAATTCCTTTCCCAGCTGTTTTTCTATTTTAATTTCTTCTTGTTCCCATTCCGGAATAAGCTTTTCTGTTATATCATAAAATTTACCATGACGACCATGACCTAGAGATAAAAGATAATTAATAAACATATTTTTACAACATACTATTATTTTGTAATCTATCTATTACTACCGGCAAGGAATTTCTGGGCCCCTTCTTCAGCCTGTCGTAGAATATCAGAATTTGCATTTTCAACTTCAGCATCCAAAGCTTTTCTTAAAGAAGTTGCATTATAGGTTGCATTATAAACACTTTCCCGATCAGCCAACATGCAATCTTGAGGGAATTTTGTGAGACAACCTGCTAGCTGTAGGGCTTGACCAAAAGCTAAACAAATAATAAATAGTAAAAAGACTCATGTAATTATTTTGGATATAAATAAATAAATATATATATATATATATATATATATATATTTATATATCTTCCTTACCGGTTCCTGTAGCAACTATCCTATTAGCAATTCCCCATTCAAAGGCTTCTTTTGCATTTAATGATCTGCCTGTTAGGACAAGATCTAGGGCTCTTGAGATTCCAACCATTGCTGCCAGACGTACAGTACCACCATCGATTAATGGTACACCTGTAATAAACAGAGCAAATTGTATTGTTTTAACCTTATTATGGGTATAATTATTTACCGTATCGCCTGCAATAGACCCCCATAACAGCAGTGTCTTCAACAACTCTTAAATCACACATTAGAGCTAATTCAAAGCCACCGGCAACTGCATAACCGCTTACAGCACAAATCATGGGTTTGGAAATTGGACGCCTTGTGGGCCCCTGAGATAAATAAATAAATAAATATATATATATATATATATATATATATATATATATATATATATGAGTATTTCATTATTATCTTTTACCATGCTTCCTTCAGGGTTAAGAAGTAACTCAGGCCTAATTTTCTCATGGCACAATTCTTTTAAATCGTATCCAGAGCAAAAGTTTCCTCCGGTGCCGTAAAGTACAGCAACTTTAGCTTCAGCATCGTTTTCAAATTCAAAAACAGCTCGACATATTTCTTGGGCTGTTGCTGAATCTACACAATTTCTGGATTCGGCTCTGTTGATGCCTATTGTTGTTATTGAGCTCTTTTTCTCTACGAGTAGTTCTAGAAAAGGGGTGGTTGAAATAAAGGTACAATGTAAATATTTTGCAAGCAAAAGTTATATAAAATATTAAGTATTAGGTATATGTTATGAATAAGTATGACAGAAGCTTGGATTATAATTTATTACGGATTGATTATGGAGGAATAAACAAATTCTACATTATATATCAATTATTACCTTTATATTCTGGTTTAGCCTTTTTATCACAAAACGTCCTTTGAGATTTCGGAAACACTTTCAATACATTTCCAAAATCCCTTAATATCCTATATTTATACATAATTAATTATTAACAACTACTAATTATATTAGTTTCAATATTATTTCTTTTGCAATCTCTTGCAAAGGTTATGTTTACTTAAAATGTCAAAATTGTAAAATGACGAACTTCAGGTTATAAAAAGCGGCGGGGAATTTAAAAATTAAAATTCAAAAGTAAAATATAACAAATTAAAAGATAATAAAACAATAATTATAGCATATTTATATAATATTGATGATAAAAAACGTGTTTGGTAATAAAATAAGTGTATAAGAGACGTTTTGATTTAACAGATTAAACTTGATATAAAAATTGTGATTCAAATATAAAAACAAAGAATAAAATTGATGCAAAATCTGTTTTTATTTATCAATATTAATGTGTAAAAGTATATTTTAATGTATTAAATTAACAAAAACTTACCCAAACAAGTTTTGATTATATAGTTGACGTTCAACATATAAATCTAATTTATTATACCAGTTTTATATTTTTAACAACATTTGTACTACAGAAATTAAAATTAAGCTTCAAATCACTCATTTAATCAAAAATTTGACGCCAAATTATTTATTTGATTAAAAACTGTCATTTTTCAATATAACTTTTTGTTTTTAGCGCCATTTTGTTGACAACTGTCAAAACTGTCACAATATTAAAATATTAATTTATGATTTGTCTTAAACAATTTTAATTTAATTTTTATACAATTAGTTAATATTCTAATTATTATAATTGTTTGTTTTATTAATTTTAAAACAAAATTATTTAAATTCAACATTTTTAAATATAAACTGTCACTTTCATGCAACTTCATGACGTTGTAAGCTGTCAAAACACAAGTCATTTTGTACAAAAATTAAATAAATAGCTATTAAGTAATTATTATTATTCTTAATTATTAAATCTATTTGTTTTATTAATTTCAACACAAACTTCCTTAAATTAAACACGTTTAATTAAAAACTTTAACATTTTTATTCAGGTTTTCTAAAGTTCGCGCCATGTATGCGCCATCTTGTTGAAACTGTCAAAGCTGTCAAAATAACCTCATACTTTGTTACATTCTTTACTATATTGTCTAGGGTCACATTTTGTACAATTAATTAAGTGCAGTGTTATTAATCATTTATTATTATTTTTTCATACCTTTACATAAAACACGTGCAATTTATGTTGTTATTTAATTCATATACTTAATTTCCATCAATTGCAAGTGCTTTCTTTTTGTTATCTCATATCAGTGTATTTATGTTTTATCAAATCATTTAAAATCTTCTTATGATTACATGTACAAGATTATTTAATATTAGTTCTAAATGTGTGTTGAATCGTGTTGTATTTTCTAGTATTAAAAATAATTTACAAAAAAGTTTGTGCCAAACAACCGGCTTTAGGAAAATGGCAAACGTCCAACAGGTTAGTAAGGTTATGTAGTAGTAAGAGATACAAAAATCTCTTGTAACTTTTGAATTATTTGTGCTAGGTAAATATAATGTTTGAGAAATTTGTAGGAAATTGAAATTGTTATAATGTGTTCTTATACCAAAATGTTCTACAGCAACTCGGTATACTTAAAAATTGCAACTGAATACAAACTCTGCATGGATTTATACAGTGCAACTATAAGAAGGGCCGTGCAATTATTTACTATATCTCTTGTAACTTTTGAATAGTTTGTCTAATTTTGATGCAATATTTAGCAAATATGTATAAAATTCAATAATCTACATTATTGTCTAATATAATATAGCCCTAAAGCAACTCGGAATACTTTAAAATTACCTCTGAACATCCACTTGCACTTCATATATTGTGCAACCCTTTCATGCATTTATGTATTATATCTCTTGTAACTTTTAAACCGTACGTTTAATTTTAATGAAATATTTTGCAAATTTGTTCAAAATTAAATAATCTACAATATTTTCTAACATCATGTAGTTCTACAGCAACTTTAAAATTGCAATTAAAAAATCTGAATGTGTACCTCAAAATTTCAATCAAATTTTTTTAATTAATTATAAATAATTTATTAAATGTAACTTTATTATAAATATAAATATTTTTTTTCAGAGTCATGTGAAACCGGTTATTTATTGTGAAAAAACAGGATTATTAGGGGATGATCCTTCTCAGAAAAAAATGAAGGTAAATAAAAACACTTTTTATTTGTTAGTATTGTTTGTGAAGAGCTCTTCAGGACGAACGGTTTGCAATATAACTTTGTAATTTGAACTAAATATTTTTCAATATGTCTATTAAAAGGACAAATACTAAAATTGATAAGTTTTTTAGAAAAATTTTGAGTTATTAAATATCTTAGACAAAAAAGTACATTTAAAATGCAGTTGTTTTTGACGAGCTCTTCAGGACGAACGGTTTGCAATATAACTTTGTAATTCGAACTAAATATTGTTAAATATATCTATTGTTAAAGCAAATACTAAAATTGATGAGTTTTATAAGAAAATTTTGAATTATTAAATATCTTAGACCAAAAAGTACATTTAAAATGCATTTGAGATGTAAGTGTTGTTTTTGAAGAACTCTTCAGGACGAACGGTTTGCAACATAACTTTATAATACGACCTAAATATTTTTCATTATATCTATTATTATGACAAATACTAAAATTGATGAGTTTTCTAAGAAAATTTTGAGTTATTACATATCTTAGACCAAAAAGTACTTTTAAAATGCTTTTGAGATGTATGTGTTGTTTTTGACGAGCTCTTCAGGACAAACGGTTTGCAATATAACTTTGTAATTTCAACTCAATATTCTTCAATATATCTATCATTAGGACAAATACTAAATTTGATGAGTTTTTTAAGTAAATTTTGACTTATTAAATATCTTAGACCAAAAAGTATTTTTAAAATGCATTTGAGATGTAAGTGTTGTTTTTGAGAAGCTCTTCAGGGGAAACGGTTTGCAACATAACTTTGTAATTCGCACTAAATATTCTTCAATATATTTAGTATTAGGACAAATACTAAAATTGATAAGTTTTCTAAGAAAATTTTGAATTATTAAATATCTTAGACCAAAAAGTACATTTAAAATGCATTTGAGATGTAAGTGTTGTTTTTGAGGAGCTCTTCAGGACAAACGGTTTGCCCCACAATTTTGAAATTTTCATATAACATTCTTCAATGTGTCTATTATAAACAAAAATACTAAAATTATTAAGTTGTCTAAGGATTTTTTTTTTGTTATTAAATATCTTAGATCAAAAAGTACTTTTAAAATGCATTTGAAATGTAAGTGTTGTTTTTTAGGAGCTCTTCAGGATAAATGATTTGCAATATAACTTTGTAATTTGAACTAAATATTTTTCAATATATTTATTATTAGGACAAATACTAAATTTGATGAATTTTCTAAGAAAATTTTGAGTTATTAAATATCTTAGACCAAAAAGTACTTTTAAAATTCATTTGAGATCTAAGTGTTGTTTTTGACGAGCTCTTCAGGGCAAACGGTTTGCTATATAACTTTGTAATTTAATCTAAATATTCTTCAATATATTTAGTATTAGCACAAATACTAAATTTGATGAGTTTTCTAAGAAAATTTTGAGTTTTTAAATATCTTAGACCAAAAAGTACGTTTAAAATGCATTTGAGATGCAAGTGTTGTTTTTGACGAGCTCTTCAGGACAAACGGTTTGCAATATAACTTTGTAACTCGAACTAAATATTCTTCAATATAATTATCATTAGGACAAATACTAAAATTGATAAGTTTTCTAAGAACATTTTGAGTTATTAAATATCTTAGACCAAAAAGTACTTTTAAAATGCATTTGAGATGTATGTGTTGTTTTTGACGAGCTCTTCAGGACAAACGGTTTGTCCCACAATCTTGAAATTCAAACTCAAAATTCTTCAATATGTCTACAAAAAATAAAAATACTAAAAATATAAAGTTTTCTAAGAAAATTTTGAATTTTTAAATATCCCAACACAAAATGTTGAGGAATCTTACTATTTCTCAACATTTTTAAAATTCCCTCCAGAATTCTTTGATCTAACACTAATACTAATATTTTAAATATCGATTACGCATTTATTTATTATTATATAAATATATTTATATTTATATTTGTATATAAACACATTTTATCGGTAGTCGAACAATGCATTTAAATTCCATACTCAGAATTGTTATCGTTCCAAATAAATTTATACAAAATAACTACTAAATCGATTTCTAGATTTTAATCCAGTTACAATTTCATTTTATTTAAATCGACATTGAGTGTAAAAAATAAATTAGATGACTTAGAAAATTATAATTTGTTATAAAATTTGTTAAATTTGTTGTTAAAATTTAATTTGAAGTGATGTATGTTAGAAATGTTTTGCTTTTTTGTGCTGTTATAATTGTTTTGGCCATTGGAATGAAATTACATCGATTTAAAGTCAGTATTAGAAATAGTAATATATTTTTATATATAGAAAAAAATCCTCCTTATATTTAATACCATATCCCACATAAAACAACACTTTACGCCAGTTATAAGTATTTATTACTCAATTTGAGTAGATTTATTATTTGGTTTTTTAATACAGCTCATTATGGGTATACCGAGTTGTTTTAGGGTCTTATAATATTAGACAAGTTTTTAGATAATTTAATTCTAAACAAAATTTCTTAAATACACTTTTTAGTTTGCGTAAATATTTTAAAAGTTATAAATAATTTTGTAAGGAAGTCCTAGTCAGGAAGTAAATTTTGGTAAGCAATGTTCAGGACGTACTGTTTGCAACACAATTTTGAATTTCTAGTATAATATTCTCTAATATGTCTACTATAATGACAAATAATAAAATTTACATGTTTTTTGAGAAAATTTTGAGTTATTAAATATCTAAGATGAAACGTACATTTAACATTTCTTGCAGACGTAAGTCCAAATCAATTTTGGAGAGCTCTTCAGGACAAACCGTTTGTAATACAATTTTGAAATTCCACCTAAATATTCTCTAATGTGCCTACTATTATGTCAAATAATAAAATTTGCAAGTTTTCTGAGAAAATTTTGAGTTATTAAATATCTAAGGCCGAAACGTACATTTAACACTTCTTGTAGACGTAAGTCCAAATCAATTTTGGAGAGCTCTTCAGGACAAACCGATTTTGAAACTTTACTTAAATGGGAAAAAACAATTTTGAAATTTTACCTAAATATTCTCTAATGTGCCTACTATAATGACAAATAATAAAATTTACACGTTTTTTAAGAAAATTTTGAGTTATTACATATCTAATATGAAACGTACATATAACATTTCTTGTAGACGTAAGTGTTGTTTTGGAGGGCTCTCCAGGACAAACTGTTAGCAATACAATTTTGAAATTCCACCTAACTATTCTCCAATATGTCTACTATAATGACAAATAATAAAATTTACAAGTTTTCTAAGAAAATTTTGAGTTATTATATATCTAAGGCTGAAAAGTACATTTAACACTTCTTGTAGACGTAAGTGTTGTTTTGGAGAGCTCTTCAGGACAAACCCTTTGTAATACAAATTTGAAATTCCATCTAAATATTTTTTAACATGTCTACTATAATGACAAATAATAACATTTGCAAGTTTTCTAAGAAAATTTTGAGTTCTTTTATATCTGAAATGAAACGTATATAAAACATTTATTGTTGACGTAAGTGTTGTTTTGAAGAGCTCTTCAGGACGTACTGTTTGCAACACAATTATGAAATTCCACCTGAATATTCTCTAATATGTCTATTATAATGACAAATAATAAAATTTACAAGATTTCTAAGAAAATTTTGAGTTATTACATATCTAAGACGAAACGTACATTTAACATTTGTTGTAGACGTAAGTCCAAATCAGTTTTGGAGGGCTCTTCAGGACAAACTGTTTGCAACACAATTTTGAAATTCCACCCAAATATTCTTTAATATGCCTATTATAATGACAAATATTAAAATTTACAAGTTTTGTAAAAAAATTTTGAGTTATTAAATATCTAAGATGAAACGTACATTTAACATTTCTTGTAGACATAAGTGTTGTTTTGGAGAGCTCTTCAGGACAAACTGTTTGCAACACAATTTTGAAATTTCACCTAAATATTCTCTAATGTGCCTACTATTATGTCAAATAATAAAATTTGCAAGTTTTCTTAGAAAATTTTGAGTTAAAAATATCTAAGGCGGAACGCACGTTTAACATTTCTTGTAGACGTAAGTGTTGTTTTGGAGAGCTCTTCAGGACAAACTGTTTGCAACACAATTTTGAAATTCCACCCAAATATTCTCTAATATGTCTACTTTAATGACAAATAATAAAATTTACAAGTTTTTTAAGAAAATTTTTAGGTATTACATATCTAAGAAGAAACGTGCATGTAACATTTCTTGTAGACGTAAGTCCAAATCAATTTTGGAGGGCTCTTCAGGACGAACCGATTTTGATACAATTTTAAAATTCCACCCTAATATTCTCTAGTATGTCTACTATGATGACAAATAATAAAATGTACAAGTTTTCTAAGAAAATTTTGAGTTATTACATATCTAAGACTAAAAAGTACATTTAACACTTCTTGTAGACGTAAGTCCAAATCAATTTTGGAGGGCTCTTCAGGACGAACCGATTGTAATACAATTCTGAAATTCCACCAAAATATTCTTTAATATGTCTACTATAATAACAAATACTAAATTTTACAAATTTTGTAAGAAAATTTTGAGTTATTACATATCTAAGGTCATTTAACATTTAACATTTCTAAAGTGTGGTTTTGGAGAGCTCTTCAGGACAAACCGATTCTGATACAATTTTAAATTTCACCCAAATATTCTCTAATATGTCTACTATAATGGCAAATAATAAAATTTACAAGTTTTCTAAGAAAATTTTGAGTTATTAAATATCTAAGGCCGAAAAGTACATTTAACATTTCTTGTAGACGTCAGTCCAAATCAATTTTGGAGGGCTCTTCAGGACAAACCGATTGTAATACAATTTTGAAATTCCACCTAAATATTCTCTAATATGTCTACTATAATTACAAATACTAAAATTTACAAGTTTTCTAAGAAAATTTTGAGTTATTACATATCTAAGGCTGAAAAGTACATTTAACACTTGTAGACGTAAGTCCAA